TAGATGAATGTTAATTAACTGTTGAAAACTATGCAAATGACAAAGACCACATATTTCCGCCATATCGGGTTACATTTTGAGGCATACACCAAGAGTATCCAACCGTTGATTCCTATTATATCAACGACGTCATCTAGACAGTCTGATTTCACCTACATTATCTCAGATCGAAAAGTCGACGACTCCACCGATTGATACAATGTACTGGTCTGACTATTCAGCTGATAGTGTGAGTCAGTGTAGGAGATGTCTCGGAGTGTGCATATCATATCGAAATCGTCTCAGTCACTGAAGGTTGATAAATTCACCGACTGACTTGCCTTCCTTGTTCACTACTTTGCTTGTGACCTCAAAGTTGTACTCTTTGTTTGCAGAGACATCTATAATAGGAGATCTGTAACCTTCTAATATGTTTCACTTTCAAAAGACTCAAGGTTACAGCTGTACAATGACACAAACTGAACTCCTTTTCATCATCCATGATGGTTAGATAACTATTCAATAAACTGCAACTCACTAGTTTGACGTCTAATATTTTTACCAGACACTTCGTATTGTAGCTTCGCTTGTTTGTCATTGACTTAAACACATGATTGGCATCAAATATACCTTCTCAGTCTCAAGTACTCCATCCACCCACACAATCAACACACAATTCACCTCCCCCTTCCAACTGCTAACAACAGAACACAAAGTCTCCTGCTTATTGTCCACATGTGTTTTAGACGACTTGATTCGTCTGTAATATACAACCAAATTACCTGACCACAATGCACTATAATTTATACGATGAAACAACTGATTTCAGCTATCTCACATAGTCAAAATAATAAGGTCATAATAATATTATGGTTAGTTAATGATGTACAGTGGTTTAAGTTGTTTGTGAGGTGCATATAAACTATGAAGAGGTGAAAACGTGGTAGAAATAATAAAGTCTAACGATTATGCAATATATCACAACGTCTATCCAGAGCAATAAATAGAACATTTTGCTCAGGATATCTGTGACTCTCCTTTAATAGACAACGATTATTCAACCAGGGACTTAAGGTCGCCTTACCTAATTTGAGCTCATCATCATGCATATACCAATTCAGCTATTCCTGTGGATCAAGTTATGTAGAGCACGCTATTAGACACTTCCGTCTCAGAATACGAGAACATCTGTCAGCTTGGTTTGTAAAGGTTGAGATCAAACACATTAGAAGTTCTATACCAGCACATCTAACAGATACAAGACATCAAAGAGATGTTAGCACAGGTTTTAATGTGATATACCACATTCCGAAGACTCTCCCATGTGCCATTCGTTTACACATTATCTATATAGCGAAAGCTTTAGCTATAGGATCAACGACGCCTGAACTTTGTATTCAAAAAGAACACGTCCAAGTCCTACTCCTCCTTTGGCCTTCTACTGACTAAACGGTATTCCCTCAACCTTTTTGTTTCTTTTTTAATCTTTCGTTTTCATCTCTGCCCTCTTCTTTTTTCTCATTTTAAAATGATAAAAAAGCGAGATTATTATTGCTGCTATCATTTTTAACCAGACTCTCCTCTCATCTTATCATGGCAAACCTTTACAATTCTCGTTCAACTATTTTCCCCACATTATTACTACTCTCTTTATCTTATTCGTTTCATATATTAACCATCTTATCATGATACATATCCACTCCATTTCTACCCTTAGCTAAATTCATGTCATTATCCTTTGTACTAGTAATCGCTCACTCGACACAATGTACGACCTTCAACTTGATTATTGATTTTCCCCTCCCCTTACATCTGGTCACTAATCATTAATGACAAAGTTTACACTCAACTTATCACCACAATTGATATACATACAGAAATTATACTACCATCCATAAGCGTAAATAATCAAATTTTCATTATAATTCTATACCAACCATTTCTGAATGCATCCTCTGAAAAATATTGACCATTAATACATTAACGAAATTGATTTCATAATGAGAAGTTATTGAAAAGAGTATTGTTCGTTCACATTTAACTCCTATTCAATAAAATGGGAGTTTCCAATTGCTGGATATAAGACAATATGAATGAGACAACAAGTGAATTGAAAATGTCTTGTTAAATGTTGCAATCATTGTAAAGATCAAATGATCTAACATTTCAACAAAGACAGTTTGATGGAGTAACGTAGGAACCTACTGAGTTCCTTAATCGTCATCGGATCCTTGCAGTTTTTTCGAGAAAATGATAATTCCGATTGTGACATGAAAAACAGGAAATTCAGCGAAGAGGACTTTTATCAACTATTACATAATCTCAGTCCGTATATTCTCGTGTATATATATATATATATATATATATATATATATATATATATATATATATATATAATATATATATATATATATATATATATATATGTAACCTCGCCTGGTTAACTAGTTTACTAGTTACTAGCCGGTCCTAAGCCCGGGTAAAGAGGGAAGGTTGGGCATAGGGCTAGCAACCCTACCCCGTAAAACAAATCTAACCGCTAAAGAAACTTCAAAGCACAAACAAAATATAAAAAATGAAAACAAACTTATTCCCCGCTGGAATCGGAGAGGCGAAATGACGCCAGTTGGTGAAAGCCTTCGGGAAGCCAATTGGCCGATGTGTCTTCTCTCGATGAAAGCGAAAGTAAACGTGGGGACATGGAATGTCCTCACGATGTTTGAACCCAGTAAGGCAGCCCAGATTGCAAATGAGATGAGAAGGTATCACATCGAAGTGCTTGGGATTTGCGAGAGCAGATGGAATGGGAGTGGACTCTCCAAACTGTCAACTGGAGAATCAATAATGTACTCCGATATTGTCACCCAGACGACAACCACGAGCACACTGAGGGAGTGGCTATCATGATGTCCTCAAGAGCATCGAAGGCTCTCATGCAGTGGGAACCAATCTCCTCCAGGATCATGACAGTAAGATTCAACTCAAAAGGAAGAAAGGTCACAATCATACAATGCTATGCACCTACAAATAATGGGAAGCGACGAGTTGGACGTCCGAGGGTGACATAGAGGAGGTCATGCGAGGAGGAAATGAGAGCTTCTGGGCTGTCGTGGGACCAGGTTCAAAAGATCTCAGAGAACAGAGGTCACTGGAGGCGTGCTACTGAAGCCCTATGTTCCACTAGGAACCCAAGGGACTAATAATAATAATAATAATAATAAATATGTAGACTGCAGTCCGTGTGGAAGATTTAACTAAGAAAATTGGAGGTTGAGACAACAATATGAGTGATAATAGAACACTGAAAAGATCCATCTATAGAAAACCCATTTGGAACACAAAGCTTACCAATTTCTTCAGTTGAGTGCTGATCGTGAGAAAAAGAAACTTCATTCACTCACTCAACTAACGAATACGTGATTTTGAAGCACAAACTGTGTGCAAGTTGAACTCGACTTTCTCAGAGAGATACTTGCAGAAAAAAGTCATCTGACACGATTTGTTGATAAGAATATGCGAGGAAAACGTGCAAGATTGGTCCTCATCTCAGTTTCTAAAGAAACTTTGTCTATGAATCTGGAAAATTAGAGGTGATGGAGCATCAGACTTCGTGAAAAATCCCCATTAGAGATAAATTGGTTGGACTTTTATCGCAGCCAAACTTCATTTTACATTCACTAGTCAGTCGAAAGTTGTTCTCTGTTTGTGTAAGAGACAATATTCCTCGACAAGCCACCTCCATGTATATCTGTTAGTTTATCTGCTCTTGTAGAACAAGGAACACCAGCCTTAGTCAGACATCGCTCCCAACACTTATAAGAAGACATATTGCAGTCTCTTTTTATGTGCATGAGAGGAAATGTATTAGAAGTTCTATCCTTGAACATCTCATCGATTCCAACCACTCAACCAACCCATACAATAATTTTAAGATTTTCTATCGAATTCGCTGAAAATCTCCTCGGTTTTCGATTTCTGTGAACAGGAGAGGCTTCGGCTATCCATCAACGGAAACCAGACTTTCGTGTCCAATAGAAGTATGTGCAATCTTTATGTTTATCCTGTCCCCAACTTCATTTTGTCTTAGTTCTCTTCATTCTTTGTTTGTTCTTTCAACTTCCCCATGTTGTTGGATTAATCTTTGTACTTTTATATCATCATTATCATTATTGTTATTTTTACATTGAATAGTTTCTGGTGTAACTTCATATAATCTTCACAATAATTGCAACTTTTAAGAAGACATTTTCAATTTATTTCAATTAACCTGTTGTCCCATTCGTATCACCTAGTCGTTTGATTGTTTATTTACTCTACCACGTTTTTACTCGTTTTTAGTCTGTATTCACCTTTAAACCACTTTCAAGGTTGTAGCTGACGCTTTTCAGTTATTGTTTAACCATGACATCATCAACTATCGATATTGTTATTGTTACCAGGAATACTGTTATTTTGACCTTCCACTACTTAGTTAAATTCTTTCTCGCAGATTTCAGTCTTAATATATTAATTAATACGCAAGAATGGTGAACAAAATATGCTTCTGAAAGTAATGAACTGGTTATTTGTCGATGAATAATCGTTTTGAAAGAATCAGTTGGTACTACTTGCTACTTGTCAGTAGTATGAAAGTGACTGCAGCAAAGAATCGGAGGATAACAGGTAAATATGATGGGGAATTGACATTAACTAACTTGGAAGTGATCTGTTTTACGCCAGCCACTGTATCATATTACTGAAGTGATATTATTTGATGAATACAGTGGGCCAGATAACGTTACATTTCTCAATTACTAACAAATTTGCATACTGCAATTATCATTATCGATAATTTCTTACTTCAGAAGTACTTCTCATAATGACCTATAAAATTCAACGCATAAAGTACAAACTCTCTATTTTCTTAGTATGCAGAATCAATGATCAAGTAGAAGAGTTTGTTTTAATCAAACAGATCAGAATTTCTTGATACAAAAAATACTGAACACCGGCAAAAGTGATTTATTTTTTTCTATCGAAAGATGGATGATTTATACAAACATTTGAAAGAAATCCAATGTCTATCAATCACAGATTATTTAAAACATGAAAAAGTGTATACTACTCACTCTGAACAGTTGATGAATACACCTGTCATTATAATTGTTACACCTGAATTGATTGTTTTACTAAGAAGGTTATGTTACAAACTGGGTATCATTAAATCAGCTAATCATTATGCTGATAGCCTATCATCATCATCGTCGTCGTGGTCATCATCATCAGATTATACACAAAGTAAAATAAATGATCATTCACAGTTTAATTTTTCAAATCTAATCTGTCAAGGATATGCGTTATTAAAACAACTGTGTGATCAATTTTCAATTTCAAATATTTCTGAAATAAAAGGGACTAGTGTAAGTTTATGTCTATGTGTGTGTGTGTGTGTGTGTGTGTTGACTTTTCTTTGATTCATCAAGTAATAGGTTATTTCTATTCTGATATATACTTCCTTCCATTGAACAATAGATGAAGTGAGGCTTGTACAGTAAACGTTATATACGCATATTTGTGTTGTGTTCTGGCTCTGATTTCTCCACTGGAACTTAAACATATCAATTATCACTTTGAACGCTTTGATGAATCCCTATATTAATCACTTACTGACATCAGTCTGAGAACGATCAGACTCCGGTGTGTACTGCACAGTTGTTTCATCCCAGTATAGGACTTCTTAGTGGTGCACATCCATGACCCCGCTAGGGATCCAACCCGGATTAATTAAGTTATGCGATGAGGACGTTTCTTTTCACTTCTATCACTCCTTGATATAGCAACACCTTCATCCACTGCCGTCTTTGAATACCTGTCCTTACGTCCAACTTGCTTGACCCTACCAGTCACGACTTTCCATTAGAATTTTAGGAATCTCATCTTGAAGAATGTGACTGTTGAGCACTGAATACTAATTGAATTTATAAGATTTCGAGGATGATGTGATGTCATGCGGTGTATCAACAAAAGTCTCCATAAATCTCCACATTGAATTCATGATAGTTATCTTCCACGAAGTAAGTGCTAAATGATTACTGGAGTCGATTATAACTACTGACATATTCATCATATAATCGAGAATATTTTCAACTCAAATGGATGATCTCAGTCGTGTTCTATTCTCTGATCTGAATGGCTTAATCGCCTGATTGATTCATCCAGCTGACATGCTGGCCAATTCACTTTAACACTTTAGCAACTGAACAAAATACTCATGGGATTTTCAACCACAAACTGACTTCTGAGTAACAAACATCTTGATGTGAAGTTGGGAAGTAACCGTCAAGTATCACATGAGACGACAAATAAATTAAGTATAGAAATAAAATTCCTAATTAAAGTATTTCATATAGTGATGATGTCACATGCGTAAAATATCTATACTTATGTATGAAGCAGGATAGCTGAAACTTGGTTTACAAATTCTATGATATCACCTATCTGTCTGTCTGTCTGTCGGTTCATTTATCCGTCAATAAGGCTGCTTGTTGAAGTCATTGAAGACGTTTTTTGTAACTGATTGACCTGTTCTGAGATGTTCCTTGTCAGTAGGTTACTTATGATAGACAGTGACTAGGAGTGAGATCCAAGATATGGATTTCGTCCAAATCAGGACTCATCATCTTGATGTGTTTACCTCCGAGTATGAGGCTCCAACTCGCTACCAACCGTTTCAAACGCCAGGTCGTCAGCCACACTTTGAACTACTAGAATAATACAGTTTTGATATCATAGCTTGTAAATCTCCATCGTTGAGTGGACTTAAGCCTTTATCTTAATAATGGTTTACAAATCCTGTTCAGTCGAAACTGGATATTTACAAGCCAATAGATGAAGGCAGTGCGCTTTTTAGTTATATTATTCCATAAATATCTAAGTTATGAAGTGCGATATCAGCCGAAAAGTGGCAAGTGCGGACTTCAGATTACTGTCATTTATCGTAATATTCTGTTTATTTTTCAAAGTCGTCTGACACATTTTTGGCAATGTTAATATATAGCTCATTTGAACAGCTTTTGGTTGACCGCCTACACATTGATGTATGTGAATAGTACAGAAATAATCACATGTGGAACCTATTATTGCGCATTATCAGCTTTTTTGCGCCTGAAATCAGTTGTTTCATCGTATAAATTATAGTGCATTGTGGTCAGGTAATTTGGTTGTATATTACAGACGAATCAAGTCGTCTAAAACACATGTGGACAATAAGCAGGAGACTTTGTGTTCTGTTGTTAGCAGTTGGAAGGGGGAGGTGAATTGTGTGTTGATTGTGTGGGTGGATGGAGTACTTGAGACTGAGAAGGTATATTTGATGCCAATCATGTGTTTAAGTCAATGACAAACAAGCGAAGCTACAATACGAAGTGTCTGGTAAAAATATTAGACGTCAAACTAGTGAGCTGCAGTTTATTGAATAGTTATCTAACCATCATGGATGATGAAAAGGAGTTCAGTTTGTGTCATTGTACAGCTGTAACCTTGAGTCTTTTGAGAGTGAAAATATTAGAAGGTTACAGATCTCCTATTATAGATGTCTCTGCAAACAAAGAGTACAACTTTGAGGTCACAAGCAAAGTAGTGAACAAGGAAGGCAAGTCAGTCGGTGAATTTATCAACCTTCAGTGACTGAGACGATTTCGATATGATATGCACACTCCGAGACATCTCCTACACTGACTCACACTATCAGCTGAATAGTCAGACCAGTACATTGTATCAATCGGTGGAGTCGTCGACTTTTCGATCTGAGATAATGTAGGTGAAATCAGACTGTCTAGATGACGTCGTTGATATAATAGGAATCAACGGTTGGATACTCTTGGTGTATGCCTCAAAATGTAACCCGATATGGCGGAAATATGTGGTCTTTGTCATTTGCATAGTTTTCAACAGTTAATTAACATTCATCTATGTAGCCATATTCCCATCTTATCAGCTTCAGTGTCAACCTTTTCCGATCCAACTCGTATTTGTACACTTCGGTAGAGTTTGGCAACTTGAAATCATCGAAATACGTTCACGGTTTTGCAACGTTCACTCTGTTTGTTTAGCGTTAATTGGTTTGTAGGTAAAGCTGCCTCCAAAATTCACCGAAAATATAAAAAACATAAGATTAGGATGACTGTGAAGTTTTGTATTTTGGCTAGTCAAATTCCTAAACTTCCTCTCACGATAAGCAGTTTTAAGCAAATCATGAAATATCATCTGCTTGTTCGAATCCTTTTCTATCTACTTCAACCTGGTAATAATATGAGAAACTGACATCCAGCAAAAGTTGACTATCAGTCTGGTACACAAACAACTCTGACAAGACAATGATTTCATTCCACACAACATCATTATTTACCAATATCCCACTTATAGAAACAATCGACTACATTTGTGATGAATTAAGAGGAGGACAGATTGACGCAGAAATCCCATCTGAAGGAGTTGATGAATTGCTACTAAACTGAACCATGAATGGTAAATTTATGTTTAACAGTGCATGATGTTGACAAGCAGATGGGATTGAAATGGGCTATCCTCTGCCTTCTATGCTAGTGGACATCCTGTTGGCCAAACTTGAAAACGGTGTGCTTAGGGACACACTTTACAAACTAGACTATTATTGCCAGTGTATACATTACACATTGAACATTTGTAATAATGACTACAGTAAAGATGATCTTTTGAATATCTTCAATAATGTTCATCCAGTTATGAATTTCACCTGGAAGGAAGATAGTTGTAAGGGAATAATATTCATTTCCTAGATGTCCTCCTCACCAGCTAGGCGGATGAGTATATTAACTGGGATATTTTTCGAAAGAACACATGGACTGGTCATTGTATTCACTTTCATAGCTTCACACCGTTTGAATATAAAAGAAATCTGGCCAAACGCCTGAGTTATAGAACATGAAACATTTGTTCTGATGACTGACTGTATAGAAGAAGAAATGAACAAGCTGAAGATAACACTGTAGCAAAACTGTTATCCGTCAGACTTCATCAATCAACACACATGGAAACCTAGAGAGAAGATAAAGAAAGACAATGTTGCTAAGAAATCTATATATCTATCTTAGAGTGAGTTTCAAAGGTGATATTGCCTCGGATATGTTAACACATCGATTCAGTAGATTAGTCGAAATGGCATTCAATGAAGCGAAAAGTTTTTTCCAAGTTCTCAACCAAAGCATTACTGACACGGAGAAGCAAGAATAGGTTATCTATGATGGCCACTTCAATGAGTTCATGTGGTGATGTGGAGCTAGTTATATAGGCCATGCTGAATGGGCTGTATGCATGGGCGTTCGTCAGCGCGTGTCATCTTGGTTAGGGAAAGCAATGAGATTGAGCATTAACCGTGCATTCCTCTCGCATCTGGTAGATAACGAACATCATATCAAGGTAGATGACGCGTTTTGTGTGATATGCCGTGTCCCTTGCGATCTCCGACATCACATCTTATCCTTTACCGAGGCCATACGGATCAACGCAATAAAACTTGATCTACATATTCAGAAGAAATATGTACATGCATTTTGTTTACCTTGGCCCATAACAGGGTCGACATGTTGTTTCTGAACTTTCCTACTACAAATCTTACATTTTAATCTCCCATCCCTCTTGAACATTGTCATTACTTTGATGAGCATTCATTTTCTTATGTTATTAGTTTTACGCCCGTCTTTATTCATATCACTATTACCTGTAGTCAGTTTCAACCTTGACGTAATACTTCATATTTGTTATTCTCTATTTCGTTATAGTATTCACATGTTCTTCACCCTACTTGAATATAATTCATCACTACATAATTATTACTTGACCCTTGTTAAACAAACACACATTCGTGCCCTAGTAAGTGTATTATAAATGAATCCTTCTCTGTGGATCCTGTCTCCTCATTTTGTAATTGTTCTCTCAGTATTGATTTCATTCCACAACTAATACACTAGACTGATTACCATTCCACTATTCCATTCGATTTGACCTCTATGCGTCATGAAACTTGAAGGACCTGAGTTCGATATCTAGCCGCGTCATGGGGTGAGTACTGCTGAGCAGGCTCATACTAGGATAAAATAGCTGTCTGGTGCTCCCAGGTTTCCAATGATTCTCCAAAGCAGACATTTGTTTTATTTCAAATTTAATATAGATGCTGTGTTTGTGCATTAAACTTAGTTTTGAAAATCATGATCTTAAAAATAGGTATATATCTTTACAATAATTAGTTCATAAGTGTTAGTTAATGTTCATTTATGATTTTATAGACTCTCCTTGCACATTTTGAACTTACTTCCAATTGTTCATTGTTCAATGTTTCAAAAAGTGATTATAATTAATTAATTAAAATACTTACCGTTATAAT